AATAATTAATTAATTACGGTTTGACAGAACCACCAACCCTAAATTTCACAAAAAGCACCAAAGAATGCATGCATAAAACGTACAAGTTTTGGACGAGGAACAGAGATATTGCTTTCCTGAAGAAGCTCATAGTCATCCTCATCAAGCACATATTCTGACTCCCTATTATCGGTTTGATCAATGTTTACAACGTCACGCTACAGTTATTTCACTGCAAACATAAATAAGAACAAAAAAGTGACCCCAATATATGAACAAATGACCTTTTCTTTCTTTTCTTCTTCTTCTGCTTTTCCTCGCCACTATCAGCTCTATCTTCTTCCTCCTCTTCCCCTTCTTCCTCGACATCATCCACTATAAACCCATCCTTCTCATATTCATCCTGCCCTTCTTCTGGTCAGAAACACCAAGATTGTAAATTTTCCAGAACAGATGTTAAAATAGCACAGCACAGAATAAAACCCCACATAAATTAAATCGGCTATAATTTCAACTAAAATAAAATAAAAGATGATAATAGGCACATTTAAAATCCAGAAACCAATAGACAGGGAAAAACCTAAAAATTTGCAAATTTAATCGCGTACGGGAGAAACCCGTATAATGACTCGATCCAAATTGCAATTTCCAGCTAAGATCGAAGCCACCAAACCACACATTCAACAAAAATAAAGGGAAAAATTAATACAATGTAAATATAAATATTTCGAAAGAAAAGGGCAAAATCATGGCGTCTGTACCATCTTCTTCATCTTCCTCATCATCGTCATCACGGCCATCCAGTCGGTCTCTATTAGGTTCATTATCTCTCTCTTCTTCGTACACTTCGACCTCATCTGCGTTCACCACAAATATATCTATTACACATATATTTCCCATTTTTCGAACATTAAAAATNAAAAAAAAATCTATCATTTTGAACACCGAAATACGAGTATTTGTGCAACGATTTTACCTTCGTCGTCGGAAATCACGGTTTTCCCAGCCATTTCCGTAAACTGCTTCAAATGAACAACTTAGGCAAAACCAAAACCCTAGAAACACATATACAATTCGCAAACAACCACTCAGCGTGTGAAAATCTTGAGATGAAACCCTAAGTTCAAAGGGGTCTCTAAAACTCCCCGACACACAGCAAACAGAGAAGTGATATTTGTACGCAGTATTTCTCGTCCTTTTGGAGTATTTATATTATTGGAATAGAAATTGAAAAGATGTAAATATGACGAANGGTTTGATTCTGTACAGACCAGATTGTTACTCCTGGTGATGTTTTCGCATATTATTGGCTTGGAGGGAGATGAAATTACTATACTGCTCCTAGAGTGACGAGTATGTTAGCGGCAAAATTTATAAATTATTTGTATATTGAGATGAAACTTCATTTAAATAATCATACGTTACAATGAATCCACAATTAATATTTTATTTATTATTCATTTTTATCTATTATAATTAAATCTTCTCGAACGGAAGCTAAATTTTAAGTAAGTTGATCAAATATACTTTTTATCCACAAATTTCTTATGATCCACAATTACAGGTCTCCATTTTCTATAAGAGCTACAATTTAAAAACAACTATAAAAAAATTGAGTTTTGCCAACCGTGCACGAAATATAGCTGACATGCATAATAATGTTTTCCTTTTTGCTTGAAAGAACGAAATTGGTGTTCGCTTATAGGAATGACAAAGAACACATTCAACTCGATACCCGTTAGGTCCCCGTCCTGCAGGAATTACCCGCCTAACCAGATAAACGGGATGAGGGCCATTGTCTCGAAGCGATACGGGAAACATTGTCTCCACCACTTACACATCCCGTTTAAAGTTAATTTCAAAATTAAATATTTTATTAAACAAAAATAAAATATTTATCATCATTTTTAAAGTGAACATGAATTACTCTTAACAAATTGAAAATAATAATAATATTCACTAACTAAAAACATAAAAAATTAAAATAAACTAATAAATAAATAAAAGAAACGAGGCGATATATGGGACAGGAGACCTACAGCACCTCGCCCTACTTTCATTGGGTATGAAGATGGGGTAAAATAACAAAAATATCCAACGAGATGGAGGTAAGAATGATCGATCCGTCACATACGTGCCCTGTTGTCAATCTTATTGGCTTAGCTCGAACTTTTATTTGTATTTTGAGAAACGCAAGATTTGACCCAACTACACCTAGAGGGGGTGATTAGGTGTAAATGCGGAAATTATGTAGAAGTGATTAGTCAAACAATTCAATTTAGCATATCTTTGAATACTGCACTTATATCATAATAATAAATAAAGCAGTAAACA